ATTTGCTCTATGGCCATTTGCTCTAGTGCCATTTGCTCTATTAACCATTTGCTCTATAGCTCATAGATCACGACGTTTGCTCTATATGTCATCTGCTCTATACGTCAATTGATCTATGACATAACACGTCATTTGCTCTATAAACATTTTTATGACTGTGATGGTCCAATTGCTCTACTCAACATTTGCTCTATGAATAAACACGTCATTTGCTCTATAAACATATTTTACAAATCGCCAACTTCCTGGAGATAGTTTTGTTTGTCTGGTATTTGTGCATATTGTGAGACCAAGCTAAATATAGTTTTCACCATATATTAGGTTTTTTTACCCCTCTTATTATTAAGCAGTCTCTCTGTCATGATGAACTTTGAAGAACTGATTAAAACTGCAATTTGCGAATTTTCCAAAGAAAATTCCCGCATTTCATAGTCAAGTTACGCTTAGGAATTCCAATAAAAGCTATTTTATAGTGTATTTTTAGGTTATAGAGCAAATGACGTGTTTTATAGTCATAGAGCAAATGAGGTATAGAGCAGACTGAATATAAAGCAAATGACGTATAGAGCAAATGACTTGATAGATCAAATGGAACTAGAACAAATGACCATAGAGCAAATGGAAATAGAGCAATATAACCTAACCTGTTCAAAGCCGCGGCGCTCGGCCCAGAAAGTGTCTTAACCTAACCTAACCCTCAAATACAAAATGAATATTTTGTTGTTGAAAATAGTTGAAATTTAGGTCATGTACAAAAATGATAGGGGGATGGGGGGGGGGGGTCCAAAAAATTTATTCAAATAACAAAAATATTCAGTTCAAATGAGCTAAAAATTAGTTGCTCATTTGAACTATGTTTTTGATTCTTTTGAAAACAATTTTTTGCTCACAAGAACTATTTTTTTGTTCATTAGAACTATTTTTTTTGACTCCTTTGAACTATCTTTTTTGCTCATTTAAACTATGTTTTTGCTCATTTGAAAGCTATGTTTTGATTAATTTGAACTTAACTGTTTTGTTTTGCTCATTTGAACTACTTTTTTCTCATTTTAACTATTAAATGCTTCATTTGAACTGTTTCTTTGGTCATTTGAATTATATTCATGTCTATTTGTGAAATTTTGTTTGATTATGTAAACTAATTTGTGATGATTGTTTGACCATATATTTTTTCATGAATTATGATAATTTTAAACTGCATATTTATTAGTTCAAATGAGTAAATAATGTGTTGTTTGAAGTACAGGAAATGACGTCAATTATCAGTAGGTAGAGTATGAACAATGTTCAAAAGATCAATGGTTCAAATGATCAATGGTTCAAATGATCTAAAGTTCAAACGGGTAGTTCAATTGCGGATCCACCTCTCGATATAGCCAATATTTAGTTTTACTACAGGACAAGTCGGAAAAGTGGAAACCAGAAAAGCCCAAAAAAAAATCGAATTTGAGAAAAACTTATTTGAACTATTTTTTTGTTCATTTGAACTATTTTTTTGTCCATTTGAACTATTTTTTTTTGTTCATTTCAACTATTTTTATGTCCATTTGAACTATTTTTTGTTCATTTGAACTATTTTTTTATGTCATATAATAATTTATAAATAATTTACATATAATTTTAATTTGTCTCCATATTAAATCACTTTTTTGTTAAGATAATTAATTAAAATCTTTAATCTATTAAAAGCAGGGAAAAGGGTAAGTTTCTCAAAATACAAAAAATAATTTATAACCTATAGTTGATCATGAGATGATGAGAGGATAGAAATAAACCATTAAATTAATAGAAATTTTTATTAATAATTTATTTCAGAAAGCACATAAATAATCCTTAGCACATATATTGCTGGTTAAAAAATTATAGATTTGTTGCCGATTTTCTCCCTTTTTTCTTTCTTTCTTTCTTTCATTTTTTGTTTCCTTCTTTAATTTTTAATAAATCTTCTTTTTTTTTGTCTCTGTAAGTGTGCCCCCTTTAATAGCTACAGGCTTGCGTCGTGAGTTGCGCCTCTGGTCCTGGAGCAATCAATCATTTCCATGAAGTCGCATTTTTAGAAATGATTAAAAACAAATAGGTTGTTAAAAAGAGGGTGGATTCTCATTTGAACTACTGCAGTTTGAACTATGGTACGTTTGAACTATTGTTCGTTTGAACTATTGTTCATTTGAACTACTGACATGACGTCATATCCTGTAGTTTAAATCAACACATTTCTTGCTCATTTGAACTATTTTTCATACCCAATTCAGTTTAAAATTTTTTTTTATAATTCCCATAAATTGTTATGTTATGACGTGACAATTAATTAGATAACCGCATTACACAGAAATGTTTCAAATAAACAAAAATAGTTTAAATTAACAAATTAAAATAGTTCAAATGAACATAAAAATAGTTCAAATGAAATAGTTCAAATGAAAAAAAGAATAGTTCAAATGAACTTAAAAATAGTTCAAATGAAAAAAAAAATTGTTCAAATGAACCAAAAAATAGTTCAAATGAACATGAAAATAGTTCAAATGAAACGTAGTTCAAATGAAAAAAAATAGTTGAAATGAACATAAAAATAGTTCAAATGAAATAGTTCAAATGAAAAAAAATAGTTCAAATGAAATAGTTCAAATGTAAAAAATATATAGTGCAAATGAAAAAAAATTGAAAAAAATTAAAATATATAGAATTAATTGAAAATAATAGTTCAAATGAAAAATAAACAAACAAAAATTTCAAATAAAATTGTTAAAAAACATATAAATAGTTCAAATCAAATGTGATTTACTCCTACTCCTGACGTGATTTTACCCAGCCCATATCTGTCATCTCCCACGGGCCTGCGGGCCCCTGAGGCCCCCTCCCCATAATCACTTTAGCTGATCCACAGTTGGATTACAATCCACTACGTGCCCATTGGCAACCGGTGGAAATAGTGTGATGTGATATTTGTGTCCGATGTTACAGTTTCAGTGATCAATACAAGATAAAAGATTTTAGCGAGGGGGGGGGGGCAAGATTTCTGGCCCCCACTGGCTGTTTTTTGTTTCCCCTGGAATATTTTTTGTTTAAAACATCAATGACACTATAAGAATACATCAACAATCAAAAATATAGGGGGTAACCTATAGTAACAATTACAGAGTCTAAAATCCTATGTTCATGACCACTTATTTTTCATTTTTTCAGCAAAATATTAGTATTTATTCTTTTATTATATTAGGTTAGGTTAGGTTAAGACAATTTCTGGGTCGAGCGCTGCGGCTAGGACAGGCTAGGGGGCCGAGCGCTGAGGCTAATACAGCGTAGGGGGGCAGCGCCGCGGCTAGGACAGACTAGGGGGCTGGGAGCTGCGGCCACATGGTCAGTTATATCCTTTTCTTACTAAGATCCATGCACAAAATTGAGAGGGGGCGGGGGAGTCCAAAAATCGTTCTCTAGGAAAGTACCAAATTTTATATTAACATGAAATTTATACAAACCTTTGTTTTTGTCAACTCTTACGTTTTAAACGTAGTTTTTTTTGTTCATTTGAACTATTTTTATGTCTATTTGAAGTTTTTTCTGGTCCATTGGAACTATTTTTATGTCTATTTGATTTTGAACTATTTTTTATCCATTACTATTTTTATTGTCCACTTAAAATATTTTTTTTGTGTATTCGAACTATTTTTTTGTCCATTTGAACTATTTTTTTGTCCATTTGAACTATTTTTTTTTGTTCATTTCAACTATTTTTATGTCCATTTGAACTATTTTTTTTTCATTTGAACTATTTCATTTGAACTATTTTTATGTCCATTTGAACTATTTTTTGTTCATTTAAACTATTTTTGTGTTCATTTGAACTATTTTTTGTTCATTTGAACTATTTTTTTATGTCCATTTAAGGAACTATTTTTATGTCAAATTTAACTTTTTTGTCATTTTCATTTGAAATATTTTTTTCTCATTTGAACTATTTTTTTTCATTTGAACTATTTCATTTGAACTTAAGTTCATTTGAACTATTTTTTTGTTCATTTACACTATTTTTTTGTTCATTTAAACTATATATTTTTGTGTTCATTTGAACTACAGGGTGTCCCACATCAAATTAGACCGCGTCAATGGGTCTAAATTATTATTTGGGGGACAAATCAGAAAATTTAAGAAGAATGAATCATTTTGAAAAATTTAATAAGGCTAATAGAAATTTTTTCTTGCAGAAAATGCTAGATTTTTCGAGTATTTACTCGTTTGAACTATTGTTCATTTAAACTACTCACGTGGTACCACGTGCAGTAGTTGAAATGAACAATAGTTCAAATGAACAATAGTTCAAACGGGAGTAGTTCAAATGAGATAGCATCAAAAAGAGTATTACTTCACCCTACAATGATTAGTTGATTTTTCTTCAAAGACGACATAATAACTCCCTGACTTCTCCTGGTTCCAGTCTACGCCGCTAGATGGTGTTGAAACTAGTTTCAATCCAGCTGGGAGGAGTTAAAAAGAAAATAATTCTACTGAAGCAGAAGCGGCCGGAACTCGAAATTACCTTTGTTATTGGCACAAAGGAATAAAGAAAGGAAAATCTATTATTGTGAACGTCAAATCAGTTTATAAACAAACGTGGAAAGCAAGTTACATAGTTTCCAAAAGTGAAAATGAAAAGTTTATTTTGAGTGTAACAATATATGTAATATTACTCAACATGATTGTACGCTTGAGCGAGCATATTTACAACAAACTTTTACAACTAGAAAATAGAATATTCAGACTAATTGTGCTAAAAATGATCCATATTAGATGTTATTTTATTCTTATTCCCATGTTTTCTTACACAACAAATTAATATAGTGTCACCTTAAATATTTTATCGTATCGAATAAATTGTGACAAATTTCCTCCTTTTGACCCTTTAAGTATGCCCATATTTTATATGATGAAAAGTTTCAGAGAGTGATTTACACCTCCACCCTAAAAAACGTATTTATTTTTTTACCATTGAAATTTTATCTTTTTCAGACAAAGATGGCTTCAGGACAGAGACCGGGGGGACAGCAGACTAAAGTTTGTCAGTTCAAGCTAGTTCTTCTAGGTTAGTTATAGTTCTTATAGGTGTCATATTTTTTGGTTAGTCATAGTTGCTCTAGGTTAGTTATAGTTATTCTAGGTTATTAATAGATATTCCAGGTTAGGTAAAGTTATTCTAGGTTAGTCATAGTTCTTCTAGGATAGTCAAAGTTTTAAAGTTTTTCTATGTTAGTTATAGTTCTAATAGGTGTCATAGTTCTTCTAGGTTTGTCATAGTTGCCTTATGTTAGCTATAGTTATTCTAGGTTAGTGATATATATTCTAGGTTAGTTATTGTTATTCTAGATTAGTCATAGTTCTTCTCTAGGATAGTCACAGTTCTTCTAGGTTAGTTATAGTTTTTCTAGGTTAGTCATAGTTCTTCTAGGTTAGTCTAGTTCTTATAGGTTAGTCATAGTTCTAGGTTAGTCACAGTTCTAGGTTAGTCAGAGTTCTTCTAAGTTAGTCATAGTTCTTCTAAATGAGTCGTGTAGTTCAGCGGAATCTTACACTATTAATTTTTTATATAGTAATTGTACACTAAGAAAAAGCTGTAGTTTAGAAGCAGTTAAAAATTAGTATTATAAAAAGAAAGAGAGCAAAGTATGCTTTAATTAGAACCATCGAACGTATTCTTGTATTGTTATATAGTTTTTCTATGTTAGGCAAAGCCTAAATGCAAAGAAAAGCGATTAAGTAGCAGTTAAAAAATAAGTAGCAAACGAAATAGAGCCAAGTATGCTTAAATTGTTATGTTAAAATGTATGCTAGGACACTTTCACTTTCCTCATAAGTGACTTTACATTTAACAGATTTTTTTTATTTTTAAATACCAACATTTTATTTAATACAAATGTTAAAGTTCATATCATTTTTAAAGATCAGGGCAACCATTTAAAAAAATATATCTCTAAAATTACACACAAAAAAACTGAAACAGTTATTTTTGTATAATACTTTTTTTCAGGTGAATCTGCTGTAGGCAAATCTTCTTTAGTTTTGAGATTTGTTAAAGGGCAGTTCCACGAGTTTCAGGCAGATCCCCATATTTAATCAAAATATAATCTAAGCCCCATATAGAATTATGAACTTATTTTATAACTAGCTGTAGTTCCCGGCATTGCCCGTGGCATTTAAAAAAAAAAGCTTAGATTTTTGATTTTTGGGTTTCCTCAACAAATTTCAGCCCATTCGGTCCGGCCGTTTGGCCAGCTATAGCTAACATACAAACAAATATATATGAGCAAAGCGCTTTATTATATAGATAATGATTGGAAATGATTCTACTTATTAAATGTTATGTGCAACATTTTATAGTTTTGTTTCCTTACGAGGACATCTTTGTTTTGTATTTCCCAGAGACATTCTTATCTTTCAAACTTTTTATGGCTTTCAAACAAAATTTTTAACACTTCATTATGACATTATGATATCACTACTGTACTGTACTGTACTGTACTGTACTGTACTGTACTGTACTGTACCGTACTATACTTTACTGTACTGTACTGTACTGTACTGTACTGTACTGTACTGTACTGTACTGTACTGTACTGTACTGTACTGTACTGTACTGTACTGTACTGTACTGCACTGCACTGCACTGCACTGTACTGTACCGTACTGTACTGTACTGCACTGTACTGCACTGCAATGAAACAGTAATTTTAGCTTAATCCGGATCCATTTTTAAAGACCGGATCCCTGAAATGGATTAAAATTAAATGGATCCTAAACACTAATGCATAAGATTAAATTGATGGATCTGTAGGAATCCACTATTGGAGCAGCATTCCTTACACAAACAGTCTGTTTGGACGATACAACGGTGAAATTTGAAATCTGGTGAGTCTTGTTTAGTGCATTCTCTAAAACATTTTCTTAAGACTTACCAAGCGACAATTTCCCGAGTGGCAACTTACAAATGGTGAAAAATTCCAAGTGACAAGAAAGGCCTTTTGGGGCGCCGCAGGCTACAATGAGGGCCAAAGTGATGCGGCTAGGATGGGCTAGTGGCCGAGCGCTGCGGATAGAACAGACGAGAGACTAGACTTGAGGACAGACTTTGGAAGTTTCCGCTTGGGAAATTGCACATTTGGGATTTTGCCAGTTGGTAAAAATACCCTTTGCGAAAGTACAACATCTCATAAATTATCAACCTCCCTCACCATTGTTGATACTTATTTATTTCTTTTTTTAAAATCATTTATTCTTAAGTCCGTGAGTATTTTTATTTCTTTTCCAATTTAAATATTTTTCGCTGCATTGGGGAAAAATGAGTTAAAGAGAAATTAAAGATTTCAACGGTGAAAAACTAGAGGGTAATCTTGATGTCCAATTTTATTTTTTAAATTTTTCAAGTCGGATCGACGAAATTGGTTAATTGACCAATTATATAATTATTTAAGATATTTTCGGAGAAATTAGTTTTTAAGAGTTCTAATTAAGGTTTCATATTATTCTTTAAAGTTAATTAAGTTCTATGAATAAAAAATTAACTAAAACTTAAATTTTCATATTTTTATGCATCATTTTGTATTTGTATACTATTTTTATGAACTATAATATAAGACATGTAAATGTATTGTGTATTAATGAATAATTAGGTTGAAGTTGATAAGGAATTGTTAGATATGTTTTTTCAACCAAATTTTTAAAATTTCCCATTTTTAAATAATTGCCTTATAATTTTCTCCTAGAATTCGACAAGTTTCAGGGACTTCCGGCGTTATCTTGAAGAAATATTTAGTTAATGAAGTTTTTTTGCTTATTTATTTGATGAAAAACAGTAATAATTTCAGTTAAAATTTACAAAAGATAAATAAAATTAAATTTCTTTTTATTCATAACATAAGAATAAGGAAGGCGAGTAACGTAGTTTACATTAAGGTGATGAAGCTTTTTATTATTTCTGAAACTTTAGTGCCACGCACGCTCCTTTGTCCCTTTAGTTAAAGTAAATTGAACCTATATAAAGCATAAAGTCTGACCACGTCAACCTTGTTGCACAGACTAGTCCTGTCTGTAGAGCTAGGTAAAGTACAAACTGGGAACGGAAAGGTTGACCCGGCTCGGAAATTCAAATGTACTACGGCTGCCCGTGCACGAATAAACATTTGTTATTTTCCGCCATTTTTTCAGGAAGGAATTGGATTGGATTTGAGAAACCACGATTGAAAATAATCAATTTTCAAATAAATAATTAAGGACATGCTATTCGTGGTCAATCAGACAAAGTATTAAAGGGTACCATATGAATAGGACATGCCACCCTCAAACTAGAAAGTCAATTATAAAGATTACATTCAAATTAATTATGGTTTTTAGGGACACAGCCGGACAAGAGAGATACCATTCCTTGGCTCCTATGTACTACAGGTAATTATATTTATTAGATGAACCAGGTGGATTGCCCTGCGTTGTCTAGGTTTATATTATTATTCGTGGTCATAGTTACTCATGCCCTTTACCCGCGCTTGGTATTTAACCACGATTTCAGGTAATGTGCCCGCGTTTCCAACGAAATTAAAATAAAATCAGAAAATTTCTTTACTGTCATGGATTTCCTTAAAAAAATCTGCCAATTCGGTCCAGCCGTTTAGCCAGCTATAGCGAACATACATACATATAAATATCTATGAGCGAAGTGCTTCTATTTATAAATTTGGCTTGTCTGTTTGTATCCAATAAACGTCAAAACGGCTGAACCGATCGGGCCCAAATTTTTTGTGGGACATCACGTGACCACAGGGAAGGTTTATGAATGATAAAAATTAAAAAAATGTGTTTTAAAGGTTTTTAATTTTGTTAAAAAAATTAAATTCTTGAAAATCCGCGAATTTTTTTTTTAAATCCGCAAAAAAATTTTCTTCTTTGTTTTTAAATGTAAACAAAAAGAACATGTTCACAATTTAAATAGAAGATGGGCGCGAAGCGCCCTAAAAGCCTAGAAAGAAGTGCGCAAAGAGCCTTGAATTTCTAGTTATATAAATAAACTGAACAAACGCCTCAAACTCGTATTTTCTGATCTCTGTAAATTTTAAACCTGGTAGCGTAAACCTTAGATATATCTAGCTGAATTCATAATTACATCTACGACATCAGGTTAAAAGATTTATATTTTATTCAAATAATTTTGTTGTTAAAAATTAATTTTTACCTCTGGGTTGCCTAACAGGGGTGTTTTAATTTTGAAAATGCATCCTCCCATATAAGTTCAGTTTTAATTACTATTTTCCCCATTCTAAGGCCTTCTTCCAAGTTTTTTTTCTGTGAATTAAATTAAAAAGTTATTAAGAAATATAAAGGAATTAAGTCTTTGCCACAAGCTCAAATTTTCTTATTCTCATATCTTTGCAATCCAATTTCGTAGTCCTTTGATATTTCAAACAATGAATTCTGTTAGAACAAATAATCTTAAGTTTGACATATCAAAGGTTAACAGTATTAGATTGAACAGATTTAGGGATGAGACAATTTGAGTTTGTGGCAAAAACTCGGTTTCTTTATTTGTCATTAGATTTTATGACAGATTCAAATAACTTCATAACTACTTCCTAATTTTGATATTTCATAATATATTATTGTTTACATAATAATAATAATTTCATAATATATTATTGTTTACATAATAATATTAATTTAATAATTGCAGTCAACCTTCAATTATTATTATTAATAATGAATAATATTATTATATATTATATATTATTATATATTATTATTATTAATGAAGGTTGATTATTATTAATAGAAATCCGGTATGAGCTCCCGTCCTTTTAAGATTCAATGAATTAACATACAAGGTGTCCCACATCATATTAGATCGTTTACTGCTCTTAATTGCGATTTTTGGGAGAAATCAGAAGATTTTAACAGATTGAATCATTAAAAAAATTGTATAAGGATAAATAAAAATTTTGCATACAGAAAATACCAGTTTTTTCGAGTATTATTTGCGTATTTTAGATTTAAATCTTGGTGATAATCCGATATGATATGGGACGCTCTGTATAACAATTAAACATGAAATTTTGAGCCCCTATTTTTTTACTTTAAAGTTTTAAACTATTTTTTATCTTCTGAGTAATCTAAAATATAATTAGTTTATATTTTTTACAGAAGTAATTTATAGAGAATTTGTTACCCCCGGGGTACCCATGGGTACAGCTGTTTTTAAAAACAAAACAAAAAGTTCACTTATTTTATAAAAAAGATTTCATGGATTTTCAAAATTTAATGATAATCGAATTTTGTAAGTGGTTAACTATTAAAATTTTGATTATCCGTCCTTGGGGTCCCTATCGGCTCAGCTGTTTTGACATCTATTGTATACAAACAAACAAACAGACACCCAAACTCAGAAGCAAAGTAAATATTGATAGATAAACTAGGATATTTTCTATTGTGAATATTTTCTCTTTGTAAAAACATTGTAAAACAAAACCAACAAAAGTTCGCAGATTTGAAAAAAAATCGTGTATTCTCAAAATTTAATGTAAATCGAATTTTGTTTAAGGTTAATTTTTAAATTTTGATCATTTATAAACCTTCTCTGGGGTCATGTGAGATCCCACTAAAAAAGGGGCCGGATCGGTTCAGCCGTTTTGACGTTTATTGGACACGAACAAATAAAAAGACAGACAAGCAAAGTATGCATATAGATATATATGAGCGGAGAGAATTATTATATAGAAATACGAATTAACGGGGAAACTTTTTATATAACCTTGTCCTTTCCATTTCTACATATCATTCTTATAAATCGATATTTTGTTATATCTAAGTATATGAATCATTATTTTTTATGTATATATCTATTCAGTTGATCTCTATTCATTAAATTATCTGTCTTTCTATGTGTCTATCTGTAGTGTATATCTACCTATCCAACAACCTTTTTCTCTATCCAATCTATCTATATATCTAGGGGTGCTCAGGCTGCTATAGTAGTATATAATATAATATAACAAATGAAAATATCTATCTATCTATCTATCTATCTAGGGGTGCGCTGGCTGCTATAGTAGCATATAATATAATGTAACAAATGCAAATATCTATCTATCTATCTAGGGGTGCGCAGGCTGCTATTGTAGTATATGATATAACAAATGCAGATACTTTTGAGAGAGCAAAGAACTGGGTCAAAGAACTACAAAGACAGGTAAATCATTAATTATTAAATCGTTAAAATCAAATTATTAACAGAACCACCCGGCGTTGCCCGTTCCCAACGATTTCTTTTTTGTTTGGTTGCCCATGAACCAGGTTTCCATTGTATGACTTTTGATTACTCTCCTTTTAATTTCTGCCCAATTTAGACATACGTTTTCTTTCTATTACTCTTCAGGGTTACCCACAAAGGATGAGACTGTGAAGACGGCATGAAACTCTTTTTGTATGTCGAGCCCAATTAAAAATATTTAGGCTTTGCCTTGAATGTTGTCTTTAAATGGCTTATTCAATGATTTTCAAAGAAAGAAAGAATTTGATAGTTTGAGGAAATAATGAATATAAGGAAACGGTCATCATAAATTCTGTACAGTCGTCTCTGAAGTCTCATCCTGTATGGGCAACCCTTTATCTTCCAGCATTATATATTTTTAAAATAGTCATCTAAGCTTAAACTTGATGTTTTCTAGTGGTTTAAAATTTGTATAATTTTTAAAACTGTTCGTTTAGCTTAAATATTTAAGTAGTCTAAATAAAGCTTATTTTTTTTGGGGGGGGGGCAGGTTATTTTTGTGGTTAACCTGTCATTTTATTAAAACTAGTCATAACCAGAAAGACATGGAATTAATTTATAATTTATCAGACGACTTTACAATCTAATTTTACAAATATGATAAATGAAACGATAATAACAAAACAGCCCTAGTCCTGCCAATTCTAAAATGTGGTCTGCCTTTATTGTGCGTTGATAGTTACCAGAGATATATATGTAAAGTAATCTGATTAAATTCCGGTTCTTTCCGGTTATGACTAGTAATTTTAGCTTAAATTTTTCTATATTAGGCTAGCCCGAATATTGTAATAGCCTTGGCTGGTAACAAGGCTGATCTAACAACGAATAGAATTGTTGAATACGACGAAGCTTCAGCTTATGCGGAGGAGAATGGTCTTCTCTTTATGGAAACCAGTGCAAAGGAACACAATATACATTTCAACATTTGCAAAATTGGAATTATTTTTTATTTAAACATTAGGTTAACATTAAAACCCTGACATGCTAGCGACTGTATTTGAAGAGACCCGCAAGTTAAAACTTCACATGCCCGATTCAGATTTTTACGTTTTTCTGTTTTTGAAAAGAAATAAATTCTGTCAACTTTCTTCATTGTCTTAGCTGTAGAAAACTGTCACTTTTACAGAGAACCTCGATTTTAAATGATATTCTTCAGATGAAAAAGCAAGAAAAACTCGAATCAACAAGTCTCAGACAAGATATCGTTGTGAATTGGACATGGACATCCCACTAATTAATGTTCACTTGAAGTCACGTAGTCAATCCCTTTAAGAACAGCTTTAACAGTCCCTGTGGACGTTATTTTACGGGATTATTTATTTTATAAAAGTTTGTCTATTTAAGATTCACATCAGTAACTTCTACATTTCACGCTAGTAATTAATATAAAAATTTATATAAATCACTGAGATTTTTTTTAGATAGAAAGGAAACAAAAAACTCGGATTACCGCTGTGAACCTGCAATAGACTAATTTTTAAGAGACAAATAAAATTGAATTGAACAAAAAAAATTTACCCATATCTAGCACAACGGAGAAAAAATATTTTCCACTTTTTTCTTTTTTTAACGATAAATTTACACTTCATTTCTATTTAGAATTATATTGTTGTCTTGTTAGACTGCTCTGAATGTAAACGATATTTTCTTGGCTATAGCGAAGAAGCTGCCCAAGGATGGCGAGGGGGCCGGACCTTCCCAGGGCGGAGTCAGGGTCACCCAGGGGAACGCCCAGGAGGGATCAAAGATGGGATCTTGCTGCAACAAATAAGGAATTGTAATGTCGACTAAATTATGATTTTTTTGAAGTACATTGCGAAAAAATCTTGTTGTTTAACAAAAAAGGAATTTTCAAAACTTGCACGTTTCATATCAAATTTATTTATTCATTTGAAACAAAAAATAATATTTCTCCAAAAATACAGTTAACAGTCATCTAAATAAATAAATGACATTACATTTTAAACTACAGGCTATGTGTAGGGTAACATTGTGGACAAGATATTCATTTACAAAAATATACAAAAACACGAGGAAATAACTCGTGTCAAATACACACATAATAACTCGTGTAATCAACACGATCAAAAACTCGTGTGATAAAACAGTGAACACAAAATCACTGGACATGCTTCGAAAGTATGGGAAATTTAACTTATCAATTCATTTTAATAAAATTTTCTTTATCTCCTCCGCTCGTTTAATATTAAACACACGCTCTACCACCTCTTCTTTTCATGTGTCAGGAACCTTAGTAGATCAATGAAATATTATGTATTATACAAACCCGACTTAATGTGTACATTTGTTTCATGGATACAGTTGTAAAATTTATTCAATAGACTTGAGGTCTAAAGTTTCCCCTGGTCTTATTTAAAGCATTTTTGTGATTTATTCATTTAATTTATATTGAAACGATATTCATTTTTATTAAATAAACTAATTGTGCATAGTTGTTTCTTATTTCATATATTAACCTTTATATTAGAAAAGTTTTATACTAGTATGTTAAACTACGCGTTCAGGGCGCTTAGCGCCACTTTTCTTAAAACAATTTCAGCTGTTGAACTCTGCACTTCAAGCTGACAATTCTCTATATAAATCGTAACACGTAAATTTCGAGAAGAGTTCTGTTTTAATTGGTGCATTTTCAAAATTATTGTTTTTTGTCAACATTTTAAACTTAACGTCTTGTATCTTTAATTATGGGAAAAAGACATTACAAATATTAAATCTCATATAAAATTTCATTTTAAATTTTGAAGGAAAATGACATTTGTAAGTTACCCACAAATGATACAAGTTCAGAGACGACTGTACGGAATTGATTCATTCCATTCTCTTGAGACTCCCTGCATCTGTATTTTTTTCTAAACCAAAATATTTGATATTCTATTAAAATACAATATTTAAGACAGAAATTCGAATTTAAGATTTTTACCATGGTAGTGTATTCAGAGGAATAGTACTTTTAGTCTCCCCCCCCCCCCCTTCTATTCCCAAGCTGAATGGCCGGGCGTTTTTTCTTAATTATTTACAGGATTACTTACAGAGGATAAGAAGATATCACCAATTTATTTTAAATTCAACCTTCATTTTTTCTATCTCTAACCTAAATTCTCCTCTCTAACTACTTTCTCAATCAGTTACTTGAACAATTATACTGAGGATCCCAATTAGCGTGCCCCATTTTCACAAATAACTCTGAGGCTAATATTGTTCTCTATGATGTCAGTTTTCACAAGAATTTTTTTTAGACCATTGGGAAGTGGTCGTGCAATTGCAAAAAAGTCTACATAGATCAAAAAAAATTATTGAATTCGTCATCTTATATATCATTTTCTTCGTAATTGTCTAAAAAGATTAAAATCATTGAAATTTTTTAAAAAATTCAAAAATTGACCGAGTTAGACAAAAATTAAACATGTCAAAAATGCTGAAAAGTACATTTTTTGGAGGTATTTCAACCTAACGCAGTCAATTTTTGATAAATTCAAGAATATTTTTTTTGAGCTATGTATGTAGACTTTTTTGCTATCTGCAAGGGCCTAGGACAACCACTTTCCGTAGGTTTAAAAAAATGTCCTGTGTAGGGCTGGGCGCGTTGCTGGTGAAACGATCGTTCTTTCTCGAGAACGAACGGAACGATCAAGAACGATCCCATCGTTCCTTAAAAAAACGAACGCTTAGAACGCGTTCTTAAAAATATTGGAACGATTAGTAAAAGAACGGAACGGGAATAGCTTGAAAAGAACGGTTAAAATCTTTAACCCGTTCTTATTATCAAAAACTTGTTTTAAGTTGGTAACGCATTTTAAATTAGAAATGTGTTCTCTAGAAATAGTTAAAGATTTTTTTATTTAATCATCTGACCCCCCTTCCCTCCCTCCACATTAAACCCGCCACCCCTCCCCTTCCCCGGTCCCCGGTCTCTGCTAAAATGGAATTGTTCGTTACTAAGAACGGAACGGGGGATGGACACGTTCTTGATTAAGAACAGAAAAAGAGGAATGCAAGCAACCGTTCAACTAAGAAAGCCAAGAACGGAACGATAAAACAGAGGAACGAGAACGGAACGATTTAGCTGAACGTAACGATTTCAAAAAAGTCGGAAATCCTGTGAAATCTGACACCAAGGGTGAACAATATTAGCCTGCGAGTTATTTGTGAGATAATATTTCTATATTTTGTTGGACAATGGGGCACCCTAGTCCTAATCACCATGAGAATTAATTGAGACTAATTCGAAATCGTCTTTGTAGAGAATAAGGACGATCTGGAGACGGTATAGATTTCATGTCTTTAGAAGGTACAATCTTTTAAACAAAAACGACGATTTAACGTACTGCGAACAAGGTAAAAATGTACAAAAAATTACTTTCTCTCGAAAAACTGAAAATGTCAAGATAACTTAGGAGCTTTACCGAATACGGATCTTTTGTTAGGCCATTTCATTTCTACAAATCTGTGCATTAAGAGAAATGAACTGGTAATTCGTTGGTTAATATTTTGACACTTACAATCAGATCCTTATAAATCGATATTTTGCTTCTTTAACTCATAAAATTTTTTTTCCATCTAATGGAGCAGAGACCCACCCTGGACGAAGTGAAGTCTCCCTGAAGGGGAATAAACCCTCCTTTGAGAAGAGGCACCCAGCTACATAGACGCCGTAAACCTAAGAAAAAACATGCCCCCCCCCCCCCTCTATAAGATAGGAACCACACCCGACTTGATTTTGGTTGGTATTTTGCACTTAAATTAGACCCGGAGTTATTTTTAATTGATATTTTAACACTTAAACCCGGATTCTACCGGGCTGCCTCATTGGATGGGACTGAAGAAAAATCATAAATTTGCTAATTTTGTAATTCAACTACATAATTCACGAACTTCTAATATGAGATAAGAAAGACCAGCCATCAAAATTTCACGTCCGAGCCACTTTCCTTAGCCTTTTATTATTGACCTTTAAGTGTCCGATGTCCATACCTTAAAGAATAATATTGGAATGACGAGGATTTCGAGATGGTTCGGAAGAGAAATTGTCGCAGCTGGCTTTCCTTCCAATTGATGTAAATTGATTTTCAAACTGTGTAACTCAACCTTCAAAAATATGCGGTTCTACAATTGTTTTTCGAGCTTCAGGCAAAAAATTAGAAAAACTGATTGGATCGATTACATTACAACAATGATTAGAAAGCAATAATTTCACAAAATAAGTTTATTAACATTTTTACAGGAAATATTCAAGAGCTTATTTATCATCATTACATAGAATTGATTTATAGTTGATCAGAAAATTCAGAAAATCACATAAACAAATGATCGGGTAAAATACGTATCGGATGATTCAGATGGACTTGATCTTATGATCTTATATTATAATACGAATGGAAAACTTGAACTAATCCGATAAAATACGTATCGGATGATTCAGATGGACTTGATCTTATATTATAAAATATGATAAAATATTTGATCCAAACAAAATTATGTATTCAATGTTAATAAAAATCCGGAATATTCAATGAACTGATTCGCAAAAAATGCATCAGTTGAATCGGATTGAACTTATCAAATGAATATGATCGATTTTATTTATTTGCATGATCATTTAACATTAAAATTTTGTTCTATTTAGTCTGAAGATTGTTGGTGAGAGGTTTCAGTGGGACATTTTATTCTCCTGACTCTCAAGCTCGGCTCTAAACAAAACAAAATATTTAAAATAATAACAATAACAATACCATCAGCTAAAAAAGGGGTTTACGAAATAACGTTTTTTTAACATCTCAAAAACATTTGTTTTTTTTTTCCCTCTAAAAAATCATTTACTTTCCCAATTCAGATAAGAGTAAACCCATCATTTTTGCACTTCACGAAACCTTACAAAATTTTTTTGGGAAAAAGTTATAGGAAATGGGGGGGATTAATTTTTCAAGAAAATCTACACCCCTGAAAAATGTCAAATTTTAATTCAATCTCATCGCTGATTAGTTATAAATCTAGAAAGTAGTCAATATTTTTATTTGTCACTAGTGGTAGGGATAGTGGTTGTTTTAATTCTAAGGGAACACTGCACCCATTACGAGCCATGTTTGCGAAAAAATCTGAATCATTTTAAAAGCCCTGTCATTTTGGGTAAACTAAGTTGAAAATTAGACAAACTGTCATGTTTGATACTCATTAAGTTCCCCAACTCAGTGCAACATTTTTAAGAACATTTTTGAAAAATGCAGACTGGAGGGGGGGAAGGGGGGAACAATTATTTATGAAGAAAATATATCCCCCACACTACATGGTTTAGTCCCCCTCTCCCGGAAAAAAAGAAGGGAAAATAAAACGAATATTTTTCCCGGTGTCCTGCGTCCATGGTGAACAGTAGTGCTGTGGCTCTGAAGCAGGAAAAAGGAAAAAATATTCGATTTATGTTTCCGCAATCATGTAAATATAAATATATATACACATTATACAACCTTGGCATACGAGAACTAATTATATCACAGCTCAGATTTTCAATTCAACTATTTTCTACTTTTTCCTGCATTGACACCACCATCAAGTTTTCATAATAATTGTAATTTATTTTTCATTTAACCTTAGGACCTTCCAAGGTCTGTGGTAAGTGACACTAAAATTTAAAGTTACATATTCGATTCACAACAGTACCATCTAAGTCTTTCAAAATTTATGTTTTTTAAATTTAATGTTTCAGAAAGAAAAACTATCATAACTTCCTTTAAAAAAGGTTTTTAGAGTACCATTATCAATCGGAAGTGTAAATTTTTAAGATTATACCACACATGATAAATTTAGCCTTTCATACACATAGTTTTACTTTTAGTTTCATTTTCGGAGACATTGACATCAACACAAAAATCAATTCTAAAATCCGGATTTTGGCGTGATGATGGTGTCCCTGAGCCTAGCACTAGTTCTTGTCGGAGTGGACGGTGTTTCCACCGGAGTAGTTGACCTCCCTCGTCGCCCTCGAGAGGACGGGGAGGCGGGGGTTGGTGAGGCACCATTACTCCGCTCTTGCTCCGCTGTCGGACTTTCAGCGGCGGAGTGTCCGTTACTAACGGCGGTAGGAGTGGTTTGGACACATCTCTTTTTGGAGGGGGGTGGAGTAAGAGGCGGTGGGGATCGGGCGGACTGTCTTTCCCTCATTTTCCTTTTAATAACCAGATAATTGTTTATTTACTGACGTGAATGAGTTCGAAGTTACTGTTTAGAAAGTAAAAAATAACGACATAAAAAGCGTAACAAGTTCAAGTTTTCTAAATCTCATAACAAATAAATCTTACCAACCAAGGTATGATATTTCAGGAACATGTTTAGGGAACTTAAAAGTTCCAAGGTGTCTAATTTTTTTATACTTTAATTAAGTGGTGTTAATTCTCTATAATAATTTCGGGGATATTAATTCTTTGAATTCGAGGCTGTGTAGTTTTACCTTTATCTTTAAGTCCTGAAAAGAAAAACCCCTGGGACTCAGAGAGTTTGTGTTTACCTGAGCTGGTTGGAGAAATCATCTTCTACTGCATCATCATCCCAGTTATCTTCCCACACACGGGTATCCTTCTCCTCCTCTCCTCCACTCCCTGCACCAGACTCTAGATATATATTAATATACATTAATTAACCCATTAACGGGTATCCTTCTCCCCTCCACTCTCTAGACCAGACTCTAGATATAAATTAATATAAATTAATAAACCCATTTACAGGTATCCTTCTCCTCCTCCCCTCCACTCTCTGCTCCAGACTCTAGATTTATTTGTATATATATAAACGAAAAACTTATATATATATATATATTTAATATAAATATACAAGTTTTTATTAGAGGCAAATTTTTTAAAATTCGATCATCTATAAACTTTCCATTGGGCCATATGAAGTCCCACACACAATTTGGGCCCGACAAGTTTGGCCGTTTTGACGTTTATTGGATACAGACAAAAAGACAAGTGAAGTATATTCATAGATATTCATTCCCTGCTATTTTCTTAATCTTCATTCTAAAACGTTAGCAATTTCTCCTAGGCTGCCAGATGGCTCTTTTTCAAGCCATGTAAAATCTAAACTATTATTTTAAGACAAACTACAGCCTGAAAGAAGAAGGTTGAACCAGTTTGATCCACTCAAGCACAATATGTAGGATGATTAAATAATCAAGGAATAATTGCAGTGCGCCGTGTTCACAGGACACACTTTCGTAACATTTCACCAGAAATCACATTTTGAAATATTTGATTTCAATGTTTTCTGTCAAATAACTTTATCTGATCACAACATTTTACAATGCATTGCATTTTATAAATATGAATTACTAATTATTTTTGTATTTCAGCTTTACATCTTTCTTGATGATCAAAACATAAACTCAAAAACTATAGGCTGACACCTGGTGTCAGAAGGGTCAGACAGGGAAAAGTGTATTCTCAAGGAGGTTATCCTCCAGCGGGCTGCATCTTCACAGACCCAGGCTGTGAAAGAGACATTGGAGTTATTATTAGTACTGATATGAAGCCTTCCAAAAAGTGCATTACTGCTGCAAAGAAAGCAAATCAAACCCTGGGCATAAACTATTTAAGGAGTCAATCTTGAGAGATCAGGAGATCTATTAAAATAAACAATCTTGTGACAAGCGTTGTTCTTGATGTGAAGAAATACCCACGTGAACGGTGTTCCCCCCACTCAGTCGATACACCAAATGTAAAAAAATTGATTGATTGTGATCTATGAAGTTGATGAATTGATGGCATTGCTTAAACATTATTATAGGGCTCCAAAAATCGATCTCTATGACGGACCCTTTCTTTGAAATTAATTTGGGTAATTTCCTAGAGAACGATTTTTGTCCCCCCCCCCCCTCCTATCAATTATGACCATGGATCTTATATGTAAGACATTGATATAGTTGACTATGTGGCCGCCTAGTCTGTCCGGGCCGCAGCGCTCAGCCCAGAAAGTGTCTTAACTAACCTAACCCGTGGCCGCAGCGCTCGACCCAGAAAGTGTATAAACCTAACCTAACCCTAAATAATATGGGGGCCTGGGGGGGGGTCCAAAAATCGTATACTAGGACAGACCCAAAAATCGTTCTGTAGGAACATACAATTTCTTGTCATTACTCTCGACTTATATCATTTCTGTATAGACTTCGGCGGCCAGAGGGTCTTACCTAGACTTAATATCCCATGCCCTCCTGGAGCTTAAGATTTCATCATGAATTACAAAAACGTTTAAACACCAAAAACTTTGCACTTTATGAAATAAAATCGTTTGCCGAGTTCTCTTACCGTCTGTGGGAAATTCTTCGAATTCGTCATCTTCCTCTAGAACTCCTAGATCAACCTTAGCACCACCGTTATCAGCAGTCATCTTTCCTTCAGCTTTAACCTCTTGAATTGAGTATGAGGACAGAGGCGTGATTTGCAGATTAAAGATATTAAAAATTAAAATTCAGTGTGACTGGAAACAGGACCGCTTGGTTAAACAATGCCGCGGATTATGTTTACTCTAACCTAGTTAAAATGTCGTTCTTTTGAAAAATTTCCAAACCAAATAAATAGTTGCCAAATCGATCGATTGGAACCTCGGAACTAAGAAATTTGCATTCGCATTAATTTCAAACTTTTTAGTTAGTGCTAACTTGTCAAATTATAATCATGGTACATAGCATGATTCCATCTAAATTGGTAATGTTCTAGAAAACGATATCGGGACCCCCCTGCATGCATAAGTATCAATGTATTTCAGAAGTATGACGGCAACCGACCAGATGCGGGCTATGCTGGATGCCATGATGGGGACTGCTAGGAATGGTGAGTTCATCTTCTAATTTATTCTATTAAAATTATTAAATCTGGAAGTGGTTCTAAGTTAAATCTTTCAAACTCATTGGAGGAAATGGGGTCTAGACAGAACGTCAAATGTTAAATTGTTTTAAGTGATTTTTAGGGGCAGATAAATATATAACTGAATAAAAGTATCAATAATGTGTTAAACTTGTGAAATAGATGTCCAATTCTGAATTATTAAATCACTCTTGAAAATTTACCCCTACCCCTACGAATGATAAAACATATGGTCCAAAGTTTTCTTTTTCGGAATTTGTGGTATATTCCTAGAGAACTATTTTTGGACCCCCCTCCTTGGATCTTAAATGACATGAATCATAAATGTAAGACATGTGGCCGCAGCGCTCGGCCCTCTAGCCTGTTCTAGCCGCAGCGCTTGGCCCAGAAAGTGTCTTAACCTAACCTATATAACCCTAAATAACTAAAAAATAATAATAATAAATTTGCTGATAAATAAATAGTCATGTACAAAATTACTAGCGCCGAATAATCGATTTTACCATCTTGGGTAATTTCCTAGAGAACAATTTTTTTTTTTTTGGGGGGGGGGGGTCCTAAAATCGTTATCTGATCATATCCGTATGCCTTGTCTCTAAGGGAAGAAAACGTCAGACCAATCTTATTTTAAGAAGCCCTATGTAATAAGTGGAAATTTGTTTTATTCTGAAGTACACATCGCTAAAATTAAGATGAATTTTTTTGAACAACAGCTTTGGTAGAAAAATAACACTTGAATCAAATTTATCTCCTCCCCATAGTTTATTTTCAACCCCGTGGAGGGGTTTCCGCTTATGAATAGATAATAATATGTAAATAATAACTTGGATTACAATTAACCCGTTGTATCGGTATCGGTGGTGATGGGGTTTACAAGAAGTTGTTTCAGGTTGCACTGGAAAACGTCACAAATATTATGACATTCATATTTTTAGGAGATTGCCGGTTTTTACGCCTAGCCACCCTCCAGTTTACGTATGAATAAAATTTTTTTTTTTGGGTTAAAAAGCTGATCAAATACTTTTAAAAACACAATTCTTAATATTTTGCTCAGCTTTTTAATCTTTGTAAGAACTCGAAGGTGTTGGTACGTATACGCAAAATTGCTGAATTTATAAAACATCGTCCTCAACAATTTTACGGGTACGTACATTCAACCAACTCAACTTGTACAACGGACCGGGTACGTAATTGAGATATTGTACATTAGATAATCACAAAATATAAATATCTTTAATTCCGAGAAAGCTCACACATGAAAATTTCGTTGCTTTGTGATTTTAAAGATATTTCTGAGTATTAAAAACCCCGAATGGAAAAGAGAAAATTCTCTCTCCTCCCTTCCCTAGAACTGGAGTTTGGGTGAGTGAAGATTGTATTATTATCCTTGAAATATTTCCTAGTTTAATCCTGACTAATAATTTCTAATTAAACTAGGTGAAGCAAGTAGTGTGAGGTTTAACGATCATAATGTTTGTAAATCCTTCCTTCTCAGCTGCTGTCCTCACGATTTACTCGCAGCTACGGTAAGAATAATGTGTGGAGTTTACATCGTCTATACGCAATATCCACTCTACTTAACTTTACAAACTTTCTGACCTACGACCAGGCGCGCAACTAGACATTTGGTTAGAGGGGGGCTAGGGGGAAATATGAAAAAAATTTTGGCCCCCCCCTAAACATTTTTAGGGGGGGGCAAGAAAAATGTGTTTTATACTTAAACAATAAAAAACTAACCTTACCAACCGGATATTCAGTTATAAGTCAACACATCAGATATAAAATGAAACAAGAAATCTATTCTGGTCAGGGGCGGATACAGGGGGGGGGCGGGGGGACATTCGCCCCCCCTGACAGATTCAGGGAGGGGCGTAGCCCCCACCCTGAATTTGGAATTTTTTGTTCTTATTTCAGAATAGCTTCTCAATAGCATGCTTAATTCGGAAAGAAACCCTAGTGCAAAACAGGAAAAATATCTGTCTTAATAAACTATAATGTGTGAAAAGTTAAAAATCTAGTTTTTTAGTCTTTAGTCATTAATTTTCACTCTTTTTGAGTCTTTTAAGTCAAAAAAAATTTTCGCCTGCGCCGCGATTTTTGGTTCCTAATTCTGAATTTTTTTGTTCCTAAAAAATCTTGCCCCCCCCCCCTTCACTTAAATCCTTTATCCGCCCCTGATTCTGGCATAAATCACAAAAATAATTAATTTTCAATACAAATTACATATATATATATAAATTTTCATTAGTTATCCATAAATCAAATATGTACATTGTACTCAAAAACTGACAAGAAATGCCTTTTATTAAAAATTCATGATTTTACATGAAAAATATTTTTTTTAATATGACACATCACACAATATTTGCGGTGAACATGTAGGATTAATTGAATAGTTGTACTACAGTATTAAAGCAATATCATAATATGTGGCAGAACTGATAGTGAAAATATCTAAAAAATACTTGATAAACCCCCTTTCCCTTTCCCAGGAAAAAACAGCATAATGAAAAAAAACAATGATTAAGGCACATTGGAACCTTGTCAAACTGTTCTTATCTACGGCAGTAGTTAGGCTCGGAGACGAAGGGGGTCTGTATGTGTGTATATGGTGTATTAAGTGCTATATGGATTGAACTATAAGCTCAATAAACTAACGTTCAATTATCTTTTTTTATTTTAGGATTAGAGCTCTTAAATTTCCTCAGGGTCAGGATTCATGAATCGCTAAATTGCAAAACAGGGTGGACTTCGTCATTTCTTGCCCCCCCCCACAGGGGGGGGCAAGACTTCTTAAGGGAGGGGCATGCCCCCCCCTTAGTCAGGCTAGGGGGGGGCCTGGCCCCCCTGGCCCCCCCCCTAGTTGCGCGCCTGCCTACGACAGCTGTTTTATTTTCTATTTTTGAGGGTTAGGTTAGTTTAAGACAAGTTCTGGGCCAAGTTCTGCGGCCAGGACAGACTAAGGGGCCAAGCGCCTCGGCTAGGACAGGTTAGGGGGTCAGGCGCTGAAGCCATATATCCAACTTAATGCTGTATAACCTCTTGCTAGTAGGTCGTAAGTTGTAGTATAGCGGATGTGGCGTAGGTCATAGGTGGAGTATAGCGCATATGCGTTGGTCGAAAGGTACCCCATCGATTAATGGTAAGGTCATTAATTGTAACACTCCCTCCTTTTACTGAATTACTGGAGGAGGAGGAATGCTATTCCAACTAGAAGGGGGGGGGGGGGGTCAACTTGCAGGATGTTAGCTTTCTTGATAATTTCCCTTAAAATCTTTTTATCTTAACCAATAATATGACAATATTATACGTTAAAATCTCTTAGAAAGATCGGGTTACTAAGCTTGGGCAGTTTATCAATGATTTCAACTTATCACTCGAGGTTTTAAACAACTGGAATTTTTGCCATAATATATTTCTTTTTTAAACCACATCTTCAGATGGCTAATGAATATCTGTATTTGGAGAACACATTAAAAGTTAATAATCAAAATAGTCATATTGTGCTGGCAAGTTTATTATACCTTTCTCCGATAGAATTTCGGGGACTGATTTTTGATGAATTGGGGGGAAACGGACATTAAAAGTCTAGGTTTCCATTCCCCCTTTTTCCCCAAAAAAGTCAATTATTTCCCCTATAGACCCTTTTTTTAAATTCAGGGGAAAAGTTATAATTTTTATTTGTGCATTGCGCAAGCATACCTAACTTATGGGAAGGGTGACTGATTTTTAAAAAAGGGTGGGGGGATTTTTCATGAAATTATACACCCCTGTTCTCAACATTTTTTAACACTCGAAAAAAGTTAAGAAAAAAATCTAAATGTTGCTTTATCAATCATCAATAATTTAAAACGAAGACCTGATTTTCATGTTTCCTAATTATTGTTTGAACACAGATTAATGACATTTTTTTCTTTTCTTTAGAGAATGGATATTGGAGAGTGCAGTCGGATTCATGATCTGGGGCTCAGGGCTGATTACGAACTAGCGCAGAAATCTAAGGTTAGTTTTTTTAACATTGAAAGTCGCAAAGAAGACATTTTTTACTTAAATGAATGCGTTACACTTAAAGACCTTTTTTTTTGGAGTTATCTCAAGACATTAACTTGCATGTGATTGTGCAGGACTTTACTTCATGGCATATTTTATGAATTTGTGACAGATTTTATGAGTCTAACTGTAAAATGACATTTTTTTCTTTATTAATGAATATAGTTTTAAGGATCCATTTCAGCTCTAATTTCTTTCTAAATTTCTAAATACTTTCTTTTTCTTCTAATTCTCATGTAGAAACCTAAATAACCATTAGTTAGCACAAAAATTGCATCATGTGAGAGAATGGAAAACTTCTCATGTTAAGATTGATATTTTGCACTTGGATGCGGATCCTAAACAATGATTGAAATGTTTACACAAAATAAAATAGCACATTCTCCAGTAGTTTGCAATCATTTCTATCATTTCAAAGGAAGTAATTTGTTTATTTAGGATTATTTCTACGATGTTGACGCATTTGAACACTTGTCTGCATTTGTGGCAGATTGTGATAGGAAAACTGAAAGCTCCAAGGTAGTATCCCTTCCCACTTAGAGTGGAATCCAAAAAAAAATTAACTAAGACAAATGGTTTTGACATACATAACACAGTCATTTTGATATTTAGGTTTTTTAAGTAAGCTATTTCTCTTGTTAAATCATTAAAATTTGATTTGGCTTTCTTAAGATTTTCAACCAATTCCGGAAGCTTTGTTGTCAATATTTATCTAAAATCATTATCGAAAACTTCAACTATGAATAAAATGAATTCAAAAAGGACATCGTAAGTATTTTTTGTAATACAAAACTCGTTTTATTATTCTCTGAAAAAAAATCTGTTCTTTTAAACGTTATGAGGTGGCTTGAATAATGATATTTTTAGTGAGGATTTATAGAAAATAATTTAATTATATTTTAGATCAAGCTTGCAGAGACACAGGAAATGCTCAGCGATGAGGTAAAATTATATGATTAGGCTTTTCGCTTTTATATATATTATATACTAGCTCAAGTGCCCGGAGTTGCCCGTGGAATTTCTTTAAATCAAATTAAAATTTAAAGTCCGGTTTTTGAAAAAGAAAAAATTTGGACCCTTATAGCCTATCTCACCCCTGGGCTACCTATGAATTTACTCTAAAAAGATTCAACCCATTCGGTCTAAGGGAACATATATACAAATGTCTTGTTTTATTATATAGATTTGTTAATATATTTATATCATATGTGTTAGCTATAGCTGGCCAAACGGCTACACCAAATTGGCTGACATTTTTTGAGGAAACCCACGGGTGTCCTGCAACAAATTTTTTTAAATGAATTTTTTTCTCAATTCGAAATTTTATTTGTCAAAATTCGAAATTTTATTTTCACGGGCAACGCCGGACACTAGTTTGATATAGATGGGGGGGTGGGGTGTCTTTGAAAATCGAATTTTTCTGTTTGTAAAAAATCGGGTTGGTATTTAAAAATAAAGCAACTGTTTTCTGACTATTTTTGTTTTGATATTTTATAAATCACTTGTTCCAAGTTAATATACGGATTTTTCTCTCTCTCAAAATCATTTCAAAATGACTCTCACAGTCCTCATTTTTTAGGGGGCAGGGGGCGCGTTTATTAATGCAATGTGACCGTTAAAAAAAAATCAGATCTGACTTTCATTGGACTTTCATTGGACTTTAATTGGACTTTAATTGGACTTTCATTGGACTTTCATTGGACTTTCATTGGACTTTCATTGGACTTTCATTGGACTTTCATTGGACTTTCATTGGACTTTTATTGGACTTTCATTGGATTTGATTAAATTTTGATTTGATTTGATTGTAGGTGACAACTAAAGCAAACCTAGTTCATGATCTGGCAGAACAAATAGGGAAGAAGTTGGCTTCAGCTGAGCAGATGGGCGCAGAGGGAGAGGTGAATTTAACAAATTAACGGAGTCTTTGCAGCAAACTCGGGGAAAAAAAAATAAACCATTAATTGCTTTAAAAAAATTGGCTCCAAAACTCAAATCTGAACTGTTGAAAAAAGAGAAATTATCAAAAATGTCATAATCTCTGAATGGTTAATCAAGTTGTTGCATAAAAATAAGTAAAAAAATAAGAAAAATAATTCGAAAATTCTTCTTCTGTTTAAAAAAATATCTTCAAAAAAAATGTTTATGGCCTTGATCCGGATTATTTTTTTTCCAGTGCGGATCTAGGATCCGGATCTGGATCCGCATCCTCATTAAAATTAAATGGATCCTAAGCACTGCCTATGTCTTTGCAACCGGGTGGTGTAATTTGTAAACCTTTGACATTTCAAACCTAGATTATTTGATTTATTAAACATGAGAAGATGTGCTCCTGGATACTGATATATGTTTAATAACTCTGATATAATTAGCCATAAAAATGTAAACATGTTTTACTCTCTAAAATGTTTATTATTTATTTTTTTATTTTTTTATTGATTTATGTATTTATTTAGGTTGAAGAGAGCATGAAACTTATGGAGGAGGTGGAAGAAATAAGAAAGGTAAATTAAAAAGGATAAAATAATGTCAGGAGGCTATTATATCAAATAATGATGATTGATTAACAAAGAACATTCACATACCATCAATCATCATGTTTATTTGTCAGTTTAAACCAATAAACCTTCAGCTAAGGGTTCTTAAATTATTAACTAAATATTGCAGATGTAAAAAAAAGGGCCAAAGTTTTTTTTTGTAATTTAGGGGTGTATAATTATAAGAATTACTGAAATGATATTTGATAAATTAAAGGGTATTGGCTTACGTTGAAAAATATTCGATAGTGATTTGTACTAATCTTACTTCTCTCTGTTGCGTCTATTATGAGAAAATTGTATGAAACGACTCATGCCGAAGAACGCTAAAAAAGTACAAATTCAGAAAGTTGCAATATTCGACTCAGATCGTAAAAAAAGTAAAAAAGACACCCATCGACAACTGAAATTGTCGTTAAAGTACATCATATATATATATATAACAATTAATGAACATTATAAAATATCAACTATACACGAATGCATCGAAAAAAATCGATGATTATAGGTTGTAATATCTGAATGAAATGTTTGGAATTAAATTGATTGTTTACTATCCGAGTTGAATATTGCAACGAATATTGCAACTTTCTGAATTTGTATGGACGCTACGTTCTTTGGTATGAGTCTTTTTAAATAATTTTCTCCTTACAGACGAAACAGATGGACGTAAGATAAGTAATATCACGATCGAATATTTTTCGACGTAAGGCTATACCCCCTTTCATTTTTCGTGAACACTCTCTTTAAAGGCGAGTTTTTCATTTCCCGCGCGTTGGGGAAATATTATCTTTAAGCCGTGAGGAGGAATGATTTTTTATGAAATAAAAACCCCGGTGATTTCAAAATGATTTCCACTTTCAACAGGGAATTGTTGACTTTTCCTTTTTACAAGGTGAAAGCGGAGGCTGAGCAAGATTACAGGAACTCGATGCCGGCCTCGAGTTATCAACAACAGAAACTTCGAGTCTGCGAGGTGAGAAGGAAAATAGGTTAAGACTAATCCCCCAGTGTTCTTATTTTTTAGATTTACCCTCCCCCCCTTCCCCTTGTGAGGTGAGGGGGGAGGGTTGAATGAAAAATTTGACTTTTTGTTTGGCACTTCCCGGTGTCGTGTTTGAATTTTCCTAGGATCCGAAAATCATTAAGTTTCCTCTTAAAATCATTTATTTTGATCGCCCTATTCAGTTTTAAAAAAGGCGGAGAGGAGGATACTTCTAAACAAAATATACACCCATTGCTATTTTCATATTCATCATATTTCCACGGAATGAAGGTGGATGTTTATTTTCTTTATATTTAAAAAGAACAATGAATTTAAAACTATTATTTAGGTATGTTCTGCTTACCTCGGTATTCACGATAACGATCGGCGGTTGGCTGACCATTTCGGCGGGAAACTTCATCTTGGATTCATTCAGATCAGGTCGGTTGCGTTTTGACAAATTTTGCAAAATATAAGGGGTTCATATTATCATTAGATTACTACTTCATATTAATTTTGTATTCGGAAACAAGCTTTAATGTACTGTGGTATTTTCAATTAACAGTATGGAAGACACGGTCATTTTGACCATCTTTAAACTTGTAAAATTATGACAAATTCTTCATTGCCTCCAGAACATTGATTTGCAAGGCACCCTAATAAGTAAAGTACAATTGAGAATAATCAATTACCGGTTAAAAATTATGAATATCTCATTTATTCTTTATCAATCAAAAGATTAAAAGATACCGTAGTAAATCGTACATGCCGATCACTAAAAATCACACTTGAAATTAAAATTTTTAAACGATTATAAATTAAATTACTGAATATTCAATTTTAATGTTTTTTTAACAGATAGCTTTGGTCGTTACGGAAAAACTTTTAAATATTTATTTTTTAGAGAAAAACTAGAAGAATTGAAGAAGAATAAAGATGAAAGACTTATTTTGAAGTAAGTAGATCTACAAAGTACACGTTATTCAGCGGGGATCCATGTAGGTTATCAAAAGTCATCAACTTTAGTTTGGAAAACTCAATTCTGGACTCTAAAATGTATTTCTTCGGTCTAATACAAGTCACTTTCCGGAATTCCCCCCCCCCCCCGTCCAATAGACGAGTCTTCTAAATCTATTACTGGAGATTTCTCAATTTTTTTTTCGTTTTAGACGCGAGGCGAAAATGTTTGAGATGGAGCGCGGCGAATATGAGATAGAAAGACCTCCGCCCCCGGAGGATAGGCGGAGACGAGAGAGAAGTAGGGATAGAAGTCGAGAGAAGAGAAGGAGAAGTAGGTCAAGAAGCAGGTAAATTATTCGTCAGCTGTCGAGGATTTCTAGTTTTTCTTGAAAATTTCGAGGATTTCAGCAATTTGTTTAATTTTTATAAATCTATATATAAAGGCTTGTTTGTCTGTCTGTTTGTCTGTTTGTTTGTTTGTATCCAATAAACGTCAAAACGGCTGAATCGATCGGGCCCAAATTTTTTGTGGGACATCACATGACCACAGGGAAGGTTTATGAAAAATCAAAATTTCAAATATTTGTCTCCATCAAAATTCGATCGTCATTAAATTTTTAAAAATTTTGAAAATCCGCGAAATTTTTTGTGAAAATCCGCGAATTATTTTTGTTTTGTTTTACGATGTACACAAAAAGAACAGGTTCACAACTAATTTAGAAGATGGGCGCGAAGCGCCCTCTAAGGCTAGAAAGAAGGGCGCGAAGCGCCTTGAATTTCTAGTAAATAAGATAAGCATTTATATTTAACTAGCAAAAGTGCCCGGCGTTGTCCGTGGAATAAAAAAATTGAAAAAAAAGTTTGAATTTTTTAGCTTATGTTACCCCCGGGATACCTGCACTGCTGTGTTCCCTCAAAAAATGTCAGCCCATTCGATCCAGCCATTTGGCCGGCTATAGGGAACATGTATACGCATGTCTTGTTTTATTTATAATGATTAAATGACTGGCTGAATCAAGAGTGAACTGATTGTTTCTAGGGATCGAAGGAAACGCAGCAGGAGTAGAAGCAGGGGACATAGAAGACACAAGAGATCAAGATCAAGGGAGAGAAGGTGATCATTCAGATCATGCAGATACCGATCAATCAGATCATAATGATCGTTCAGATCATCAAGAAAAGAAGAAACAGATTGTAACAGAGCTTTTATCTTTTTTTTTCTTACAACAAGGAATTTAAATTATGGAAGGAAGATTGTTAGTGTTTGGATTTTCAAGTATTTTTTGTTTTTGAGTGAATTTTTTGTTATTTAGACGCAGGTCTGGGTCCAGAAAACGACGTGTTTCACAGGGTCAACATGATTCTGAGTAAGTTTTTAGGTCTGCTGCATGAATGTGAAGGTTTCTGGTTCTAATTTAAAACACCTTCTTTAATATTTAGAATTATAACACAAAAAGAGATATTATCAATCTGGATTTTTTTAGGAAAAACTAAAATATTGACGAAGAAAACTAAACCCCGGGGTGCATGGGTAACATTATAAAAAGGTATCAGTACAAAAGTCGGGACAGTACAAACGTCGGACCAGTACAAAAGTCGGGACAGTACAAACGTCGGACCTGTACAAAAGTCGGGACAGTACAAACGTCGGACCAGTACAAAAGTCGGGACAGTACAAACGTCGGACCAGGACAAAAGTCGGGACAGTACAAACGTCGGACCAGGACAAACGTCGGACCAGGACAAACGTCGGACCAGGACAAAAGTCGGGACAGTACAAAAGTCGGGACAGTACAAACGTCGGACCAGGACAAACGCGTCGGACTAGTACAAACGTCGCGGACTGGTATAAATGTCGGACAGTACAAACGTCAGACCAGTACAAACGTCGGACTAAAGTTATTTCCTTTTACCGATTGGTTTAATAAAAATCTACCCAAAAAACCCTGAGTTCTTGACACTAACTAATATTCTCATCCCTATATCTTTGCAACCTGGTATTGGTATTAACCTTTGATACTTTCAAACTTAAACTGTTCGATCTTATAGATCGGGTTGCAAAGATTAAGGCATTAAAACATCAAAGTGTGTGACAATTGAACTCATCTCCTTTTTAGTCTGTTATTTTATACAGTGTCACCTTCGAAGGATGAGACTTTATTCAGTTGTCTTTGATTTTTATCACAATAAGTGAGGGATTTTTAATTTATTTCTTTTAGCAATGGTATTTTTTCAAAATCTACCAAAGTCCGACGTATTTCCTTATAAATGCACCCGTCCGACGTTGTTTCAGTCCGACGGTCGTATCAGTGCCGACGTTTGTAACAGTCCAACGTTTGTAAGTCCGACGTTTGTACTGTCCGTCCTTTGTAACGTCCGACGTTTGTGGGCCTAACGGTTGTAGTGGTACCTATAAAAACTTAGATTCGTGCATCTTACTCGTTCCTTGTAAAATATCTAGTTAGGTTAGGATACGGATTAACAGGGTTTAATGAAAGCAGTAAGTAAGGGGATGGTTCGTGGATATCTAAACTATTGTAAGAAGGGACTGTTCATGGGTTTCTAAACTATTGTAAGAGTAAGGGACTGTTCATTGGTTTCTAAACTATTGTAAGAGTGAGGGACTGTTCATGGATATCTAAACTGCAGTTCCTTACTCCAACTATCAAGCATGTTATAAATATAATTCAGTTGTTAATTATTCATACAAAATCTGTTGTAATCAAATGAATTGTTTGTAATATTCAGTTTCAATATATCAAAAAATAATATAGTAAAGAATGAACATTTAACCTATTATTAAAAAATGTAAATGAAACAATTGGTTTTTGTAAAACTTGGTTTAACCTTGGTGACGCCCAGGGAAAGGGACTTCTGCTTGCCAACATAAATAGAATAATCGCTTAGAATAATGTTCAAATCTTACATTAACTTCAAAATTAAGATTTGATCAAGGTTTCTAAAACTAGGGTGAAGGTTCAATGGGATAGTGTTGGAAAATCGTCTTTGCCAAGTTGCCAACTACAAACAATAATAAAGCTAAACATTTCACAAAAATGTCGAGAAGGAAGGGCGGTGTTTTTTAAATAGACTAACATCCTAAATAAAGAGACTGTAAATGAAAAGTGAAAGAGGGTATAGGCTGAAACTCAAACGTTTTAGGAGTTAAATTTATACGAAAATTTATATATATATATATGTATGGCCAATCTCACATATAAGAATACATAGCACGAGCGCATGAAATCATCTTCTGAAATGCTTGGGTTTCAGCCTATCCCCCTTTTATTATTCCTGTACAGTCCCTTTTAATCAATAGAAATGTTATTTTCTAATCCAGGAAACACGTTTGGTTTAGGTTTTAGTAACTATTCTTAGTTTAAAGTAACTAAAAATAATTCTTGCCAAAATGTAAAGTTTAAAACCTGTTGTTTCAGGGACTTCATGGTCAACCGAAAATCTGCTGACTGAATTTTAAATTACTGCAAACTGGTTTTCAAATTTTAAATTATTGCAAACTGGTTTTCAAATTTTAAATTATTGCAAACTGGTTTTCAAATTTAAAATTATTGCAAACTGGTTTTCAAATTTTAAATTATTGCAAACTGGTTTTCAAATTTTAAATTATTGCAAATTGGTTTTCAAATTTTAAATTATTGCAAACTGGTTTTCAAATTTTAAATTATTGCAAACTGGTTTTCAAATTTTAAATTATTGCAAACTGGTTTTCAAATTTTAAATTATTGCAAACTGGTTTTCAAATTTTAAATTATTGCAAACTGGTTTTCAAATTTTAAATTATTGCAAACTGGTTTTCAAATTTTAAATTATTGCAAACTGGTTTTAAAAATTTTAAATTACTGCAAACTGGTTTTCCATTTAAAGGAACTATACGCGTAATTTAAAATGTTCCTCCGTTCAAAGATGGTAATGTCCGTTACACAACGCTAACTTTAGAAACTTTGTCTGATCAAAAATTCATGAACAATGAATATAATTTTGAAATTTGAAATTTTTAGTTGTGGTTTTTCCTTATTGAAGTTACTTGATCATTTTTACTGCTGGTGAACCTTTATGAATAATCTGTATTCAACATTTTTAAACCTAGAAAAACAGTAATTTCATTAACAGCATTTATTTTAAAAGAATTAAGGGTACTGTGTGAATGGGCATTGCCATCTTTACATGGAAGGTCATGTGAAATTATGCGTACAGTCCCTTTAATAAAAATTTTATCTACCAGTAATTATCAAAAGGGCTTTAAATAGAAAAATTGTAAAAATAAAATCTGAACAGTGAACATCCTCCCTTCTCCCCGCCCCTCTAAAACAACTTAGTATTATGTTTTCTTGTCAATCATGAGTTAAGAATATTTTTGTGATGATTTAAACTTTATTTTTGTTCTTATAAATTACATGATTGAATGATGTTATGTCAATGACTTGTATTATTTATAAATGTGAATTATGTTGAAATAAAATTTTAAAAAATCTCTTCTTCAATTGTGAATATTATCATACAGTGTGAACTTTACAATAGGAAGACGACCTTAAAGCAATACTCCCGTGTATTCTATGTTTCAAAGCTCGGATCCGGGTCCATGTTTGGTAATCTCTCATAGCTCGGATCCGGCTCCATGACTGGTAATCTCTATATAGCCCGGATCCGGATCCATGCCTGGTATCTCAATTTAGCTCGGATTGATTCTTCGAAGACGAAGTTTGGCAAGTAAAAAAAGCCTAATAGCATAAACATCGAAAAAAAGTAATAGCAGTCAAATTTCTATAATTTTAAAGTTCAGACACTTTCTTTTTTATATTAATTCATATCCACCGTACACTTTTACTGACATTCTAATTCGCATGGAATGATGGAACTGGCATAAGAGATTGTAATGCAATATAAACTGTTCTTTATATCCTACATCTGGTCTGGAAGGTCTGGTGTACATTGTATCAGGCTTGCAATGGAAACCAGAAAACATTGGAATAAAGGCCAACCTTTAAGATATTATTTATTTTTGATGACGTCGGACAAACTAACAAAATATAAATCGAATAAAAGATTTTCAATCTGGTTGATAGAAAAAAAATCCGATTGCCTTCTGTTTATTTACAGGGTTATCCACAAAGGGAGAGACTATGAAGACGACTTGAATGTCGTCTTTCAATGGTATTTAATAATTGGACAAAGAAAGAAAGAAATGTATAGTTGAAGGGAATCATGAATATAAGGAAACAGCATAAATTCCGCACAGTCGTCTTTTAAGTCACATCCTTTGTAGGTAACCATGTATTGTATATATCCTCATCACTCCTATAGAAAATAATCAAAACTATATTGCATGGTCAATGAAAATTGTAACAATTTAAAAATGCAATATATTGAATTATGTAATTTAATGAACAGTTTTTAACTTATAGGATTCTTAATAAGCTTACCTTCTCCCATTGTTGACAAAACTGCATATTCATTTCTATTATTTTACTTTGTCAATTTCTAACTTTTCTATTTTACAGAGTGTCCCAGTAAACATGGGAATTTAGAGACGACTTGAATATCGTCTTAGATTTCCGATAATTGATAAATGACATAAAATGCATTAAATCTAATGAGCTTTCCAAAATGTGTTTCCCTTTTTTGTTTCTATAAAATTGACTGAGATATAAAACATTTAAATAGTTTGTTGATTTATAATAAATAGGAATCTGGACAAATATCCTAACATCTCTGGCAATTTTGAAGATAAAAAAAGGTAGACCACATTTTGAAAATTCCGGAGACCAGTACTGTTCGGTGTTAAATGTTTTAAATGTGATACTTCTCAATTATGTTTACGAAATAATTCCACATGGAACAAACGACATGAGCTTTTTTTTATTAGATATTGAAAAGAAAGAATTTGTTTAGAAATTAAATATTACTAGGAAATTTCTATAATTGTTATAGGATATAGGAATTATGAATACTTAAACATATTATATTTTTTTGCTTGTTTTATACATTTATATCCGTTGTCATCGATAATGCGATATTTTTTATAGAGGCAATTCAGCGCCTATACATTTTTCCAAATGTATAATCTATAATCAAAGATAATATATATATAGATATGCAGGCAGGTAGAAACCTCCTTCCTAAATTGCTTGTAGCAGACAACTAATTTTTGAACCTCTGAGAAAATGTGCAAGGAGAGACATCTATAGCAAATTGATTACTTTCTATATTCCTTTCTCCCCTTGCTGCTATCTGTAGGAAATACGCATTTGTGTTATATAAACATACAGTACGCGTATTGCATCCTCTATAGTTCAAGTGTTGCTATCTGGACCTGTTTGACCAATAAAATTAAATTTCAAGGTAACACAAACATACAGTACGCGTTTTGCTTATGTTATGATCAGATCAGTTGTAATTTGTCCTAGACTCGATGTACTTTTATAGTCATAATTTTTATTTAAATTGCGTTAATTTACGTATGCCATTCAGTACAACTTGCACATTTAAACTTTGTCTAGTCAAATTCCTACCTCAGTTTTATTTGCATTGATTAATTTGTTTCATTAAGTACAATATGCAGTATACATTGTTGATACTATAGTACGCATTTAGTGTTATCACGCATAAACAAAGTGATAAATTAGCATCAATCCAGAGGATAAAATGCCATGCGTACGACAGAGATGGTGCTGTTTGCACATTTTCTCAAGACCTCTAAATTTATACCTGCCTGCATATCTATATATATATTATCTTTGTCTATAATCAATATAGAAATATCAACAATTGAAACTCTTTATTTTGAAACAATGAAACAAGTTTAGTTCAGGAAATGAATATTATTATCATCATTATAATTTGTTAACAAACCATGTTCTATCAATATAGGAAATTTGTTAATTTTTTAATGAAATATTTTCAATTAATAAAAAATTTGACAAATACAGTGTGTCCCAATAAACATGGGAATTCAGTGACGAATTAGATATCGTCTTTTTAAATAATTCTTTGATTTAGTATGATGATACCTTCTGAGAAAGCTGTGATCTGTAAGAGTTTCGTCTGCTATGTTCACAATTTGTTTGTTTATGTTTTGACTGCATACGGTAACACGGTTGTACTTAGTAAAACGAGAAAATTGCAGTATACAAACAGAGTAAACTTATCCGTCTTCACTGTTCATCTTGCGGAGACATTATAGACACATCTTTACAGTCTTTTACCCTTTTCATAAAAAAAACTCTAGCAGACATAGTAATATTATGGCTTTTGAAATTAGGTATTACAATGCTAATTCATAACAAAGACGATATCCAATTCGTCACTGAATTTTCATGCTTTTTGGGACACCCTGTGTAATAAATATTTCCCATTAATATTCCTATTCCTATTCAATTCTAACATATTACAAATATTTGAATGCACATATAAAAGGTTAAGTATAAAGTTACACGTTGATCTCATTATGTAATCTACCTATCTAAACCACTAGCACAATTACTACACTATCAAAAGTATAAACTTACTATACAGGGTGTGTCTGGGAAAATGTTATTGATCAAGATTTGTATTGTTTATCTATCATCTTTTTTGCCATAATTTTTAAAATTTTTTAAATATTAAAAAAAAATATACTTTTTTTCGTAGTTTTATTGTTTGTTAATTATGACTCCCCCTGTAGATGAGGAGGTATATTCCTGAAGCCAGTAGTTTGATAAAATCCCCCAAATTAATCACGTTCAATCGAGATCTCCCAGCTATCATGAGTATTTCAAGTTTTTTCGGAATAAAGCGGGATAGAGATAAGTTCAAGAGATCGAGCTACAGAGCTAGCAAATACAGGTATTATTGGGCTTTCTCAATCCTAATATTTAATATAATATATATAATATTTAAATATAAGGCGGCTCTACAAAAATTCACGATATTCATCACTTATTCATCACAGCTTTCTAGTCCGCAAACTAGCGTCTGTAATTGTAAATTTGCAATCACTGCTTTTATCCGATGACCATAATTTGTACATATATTGTTATCATTTAACCTGTGAACTATTTTAAAATATACATTATTATTATTATCAATATCCTTTAAATTGTATTTCTAAAACTAAAGTTTGCTAATTTTATCCAACCTAGAAAAATTTAAACATTTTTTCGGAAACATCTAACAAGAGGCCAATAAAATCTAAAATTATTATAATTTAATTACATTATATGTGAGCCATTATATAATAAAATATAAAACTTTTAATTTTAGAATTAGAAAGAAATTATTGTTTTTTTGTGTTTAAAAATAATTTGACAAATTAACACGTTTATGCAAAGACGATTTTCTCTATTAGACAAACTGGTTCCTAGATTCCAACTCTTCAATAAATCACGGGGATTCCTGAGGAAGTAGGGAAAACGTATCAAACTGTCAAATGTTTAAAATAAGTATATTTTAAAAATAGACAAATTTCATATAATTTTGAAAAAAAAATAAAGATATCTAAAATTAACTATTTATAGATACTACAATTTGATTTCATATTTAAAATTTTTAAAAGTTCATGACTATGACAAAAAGCATCAAGATCAAATAATGTCTATGCAAAGAGGCAGGGAACCCTCGGACGCCATGAGCCTCCGCTATGCAGAAAAGAGCCTCCCAGATTTGCTACGCAGAGAGACCGAGCCTCTGCTTTGCAGAAATGAGCATGCGCATGAATCAAAATGCGCCTGTATAATACAGAAAGTGTTGTTAAACTTGTGTTTTTTAGGTTTAAAAAAAGTTTTTTTTTTTAATTTTTCAACATAGTGGCATGAGAGGTTTCTCGAAGATTAGAAGTATTTATCAATTTTCATAAATAGTGCCTAACTATGACTAATAAAGTGGTATATAGAATATTAATAGAAAAAAATTTAATTGAATTGCATTTAATCTTTTAAAATCTTTGATTTAAGCGATCCTTTTTTGTAGTTTAAATTAAATCTAGAAAGTATCAATTATTTCAGTCTTAACATTTTCAAAAAATGTATTTTTTAAATCAAAGATTACAACGAAACAAACTAAATTTTACTCTAGAAATATTTCTCCAAATATCTTCATTTCTGCGTAAGAAATGTTTAAAGTTTCAGTATAAATCTTATAAACCACTTTATGAGTCATTATATATTTCTAATCATGACAATCAATAATTATAACTCTAATTTCTAGTAAAATTCTTACGCCATGGCTACGTCAAAAAAAATTTAAAATTTTTCATTACACTTAAAAACAAAGATTTAAAAAAAGCTTTGCTGTATGGCGGAGGCTCGTTTACTGCATAGCAGAGGCACGGTCTGCATAGCGGAGGCTTGGTCTGCATAGCGGAGGCTAAGTCTGCCTAGCAAATCTGGGAGGCTCGTGTTTGCATAGTGGAGGCTCCTTGCGTCCAGGCGTTCCCTCTCTCATGCAAAGGTGTCATACCATTGCGCTGGAATTCTGAATGATAAATCGGCTTTTTCTCAGACCACAGTTGTCTTTAAAAAGTAAGACTAATACCAATAAATAGCTAACGGGCCAATTAGTTTACCATGAAATTATCCAAATAAGTGAACGGTCATTTAAAGCTTATACCTTTTGTCATATAGCCAACTACATGTTGAATACTTGATTTAAGAATTTTCAGAAATAATAGCATTAAAACATCTTGGTTAAGGAATTTCAAAATGTGGTCTGCTTTCGAATACTTTCAAAAATAAAAGGACTGAAAGATTCGATCAGTTCAAGTTCAATAGATAAAATATCACAAAAACTTTTTAGAATAAAGTTACAATAACAAAGAAGGAAATCTGAAAAATTAATAAATAAAAAATGACATTTCTTATTTGCACTCCATGTTAAAGACTATCTTCAGGTCGCCGCAGCGAATATCACAAATATAGAGTTCAATTCTTCCAAAAATAAACAAACTCAAAACAAGGGAATAGGGTTTGTTTGCATTTTATCCCGACGTTTTAGGACAGTTTGTGAATAAGGCGCGTTCAAACTAAATGTTATTTATTTAGCTTTAACTAAAACTCTTAATATGATTTACAATCTGAATTTAGAATTTTGTCGTCTGTTGGAAATTTAGACTTTTAATGATATACAGGATGATTTTAAGAATAAAAACCAAAAATATTCCGTACACCATATGTTAAAGGCTAACCCCATGTTATAACTTCATGTATAAAAAAATCTAATTTTAAAATCAACAATATATATATTTCATTTATATTATGTAACAATTGATATTGTGTATAATACGGTCAATATGCTGCATCAGTGTAACTTTAAAAATGACATTTGTCTTAATGCATGCATTTTCCATAATAAAATCTCCCAATTGACCATTTACCTCAGGGCATTTTCCAAAATGTCAACCTAGAAAAGGGTTGATTTCAAATTTAAGAAAATATTAAAATCGTAAAATGTCTCTGAGAAAGTAAAAGTGTGGGTTTAAGGAGGGGAGGAAGGCCAACCACAACAATTTCTCGTCCGAGCCACAGTCTTCTCATTTTCTCGTCCGAGCCACCTCAAAATAATAATAATATAATGTGTCTAGTGGAAGAGCAAGTAAACGTGGTAGCGGTCGAGCCAGCAAACGATCAATCAAATCGAACAGGTGGACATAAAAAAAATTTTTTTTTTTAATTTTTCAAAAATTCTAAAATATCATTTTATTTAGTAAATCCCGGACCAGCACCAGACGGCTGCAAGGATATAGAACGAAAAAGGTAAATAGACGACATTTTGGATATTTCATATTCACAACTTTCAAATTTTAAAAAATCTTTTTGTTTAATGTTCTGTAGTTTTTAATTAATAGTTTACTTTTTCCTCGAATGCTCTTTCATTATATATCTGTATTGCTTTATTTCAATACCCCGTATACTTTTTATTACATACTATCTATTTGAGTATTCTATATATTTTATTTTCTCGAATATCATGTATTGTAGGAAATATTTTTTTTACATATAATGCGTTTGTAGAAATTATTTCAAAGCATACAAAACTTGTGATTCGCTTTAATCTCAATATGATACACAGAACTTTATTACACTGAAGGTTATCAGTGTGACCTTTCGACCTCGTACGTTTTTATATAACTATAGTGTACTTTATCATTCTTCCTCACTTCATCGTGAATTTCATAATGAACGTGCAATAAAGTAATCATCGTGCTATAAAGTTAAATTAGCTGTACAATATAGCACATGTGCTATGAAGTTTTGATTGGTTCCCAGATTTTCTCCAAAAAAATTAGGATATTTCCAAAATATTTTTTTTTAAATTGAAATGAAAATAAAATTGAAATCAACTTTATATTTTGACTTCTGCTTTGTTTCAAAGCTTATTTGATCTAGAAAGAGCATTGAAATAAGACAAGTACACAAACATTTCATAAAATTACCTATAACACTATTATTTTGGTTCTTGAACTTAAATTTTCTCTATATCTCGAAGGTTCTCGCCTTTTAGATTCTATTTTGTCCCGAGCTAAAGCTTGGGACAAATTTGATTTAAAAAGGCCTTAACCTTCTCGATACAGAGCTTTCTGTCCAAAAACTTAATCAACACTGCGAACAAAATAACAGTGTTGTAAATAGTTATTAGCGTTTAGATTTCAAAGGTCTTCAACATCGGGTGGCAGAGTTATAGGGATTAGAACTAATTTCCTTAGTCATGGACACAATTACGAATAATAAGATCGAACTCATCGTTCATGATCTGCATTCTAACCAGGTAACCCCAAAGACTTTGCTAATTACAATTAGCAAAGTCTTTGGGTAACCCGGGACTGTTCTATAATTAACTAAATGTCAGGTTTCTGTAGAAATATTTTCCTCTCGTAACATAAATGAAAACATTGTTTAATTAGATAAATTGATTTATTTTTTAACAAACAGTAGTCAGTATAGTCAGTACAAATGGTTTGCTCTTCTCTGCAGCATCCTGTCTCACTTTTGAAAATATGTACAATATCCATTTTTGTAAGCTGCTCCATTTCATCAATTTTTAGGAACGACATCTCTGTTCCGACAATTTCGATTACAGATTCCCAGATTTTCTAATTTGTACTCGGGGACTAACATTTGGATTGTTCAAAACAATTTCTTGAATATCTTCTATATATATATATATATAAAAAAAAGTTGTAATCTCTGTTTGTCTGTCTGTTTGTTTGTTTTGTCCGAACATAACCGATTTGCTTCAAATTTTGAATGGGGAAATCGGGAGACCTACGAGAATGTTCTTAGTTTAGTTTTGAGATTCAAAGTTGAATAGGTCGGCATTAATAGCGAAAATTAGTTTCCTGGTAAAATCGTTCCAATGCGGGTAAACGGCAAAAGTAACTTTTTGTAACCTTGGCAGCGCTGGCTTCCCAAGTTAGTATTCTATATCGCTAATCACATCTATCAATATCTTTCAAAAAGTTGGATTTATTATTTTTATAGTTGTATATGTCCATCGAATATTTTCAATCTTACTAAATAGAAACTATCAATATTTTTCGTCCGTTGGATGGTTGTGTCCAACCTAGAAACCTTTCAGCTTATATCTGCATGTATATGCAATGGCCATTTAAAGTTGTCGGCATTAACAATTGAAATTGTGGCATTCCTTCTATGTGTGTATTTCTAAATAAATCTATCTATCTATCTATCTATCTATTTATCTATCTATCTATCTATCTATCTATTTATCTATCTATCTATCTATCTATCTATTTATCTATCTATCTATCTATCTTCCTTATATCTATCTAACCGCCCGAAGTCAGGCTTCTTATTTGTTTCTTCATGTAAAGCTAAATATTTCATGATAAAGCTCAATCATATCTAATCTATGTAGCTTGTAGATTATATATGTATCATTATAAACACACACATGTCTACAATCTACATGTATTATATCATTAAAATATATTTATATTTTGTATCTTAGATTCCTATTCAATTCTACAATTTACATATATAAATTCATTAATAATTGTAAAACCATTTTTTAACATTCTTGAATTTTTTGAGGTTACTCAATTCTGACCAACTTTGCATATGGATTTATTCAAGTGAAGGGTTGAGGAATGAAATGTCGGTTAAACTGTTTAGGTGAAAACATTAAAATTCCTTAAAATGTCCGCTCAGCCCTGGGTCCAGACTACAGATGGGCACATCGTTTTTTTCTTTATACATTCAAGGATTCTTTTTAAAAATTTCCCAAGAATCTGAGGCGTTTATTAAAATTCAAAAGTGCATTCTCTATAAGGTTGCTTTCAGTACATTTTGCTAAATTTTTACGCTGATATTAAAATAGCAGGTTAAAACGATTAAATAAAAACGATTGGTTACGTTTTGATGAATCTTTTACCAACATTACCGACCCATGATTCACCAACACAGGGACGTTAAGTTACTTGACGTTCATCGGAACAATTGGTAAAATAACGACCCGCTCTACGAAGTTTTCGCAAAAAAATTGTGCATTTTCATCTCAAAAGACGATAAAATTTACTCACGGTCTCCCTCCACCAATTTTGCATACGAAACATCCCCGTTAAGCACTGTATATTTTTAATGTATGTTTAATAAACCTTGAATCTTAGAAAGCAAAAAATGCCCATCTTTAGTTGAGATCCTAAAATATTGGACAGAAGGAGTAAATATGTGCACAAGAAAAGATGAAAAATACAGGGTTACCCATAAAGGATGAGATTTAAGAGACGACTGTACAGATTATATATTGTGTGTTTCCTTACATTCATGATTTCCTGCAACTACAAACTTGTTTCTTTATTTGCCAAATCATCAAGGCAAAAAGACTTAATTTAGAAACATGTTATTAAATTCGTGGCAAATGTTAATTCTCGATTATCCTGTATTTGCAAACATGTGACTTAAGTTTTTTTTTTATTTGGCGCAGTTCATTGTCTGGTCGCACTATATATACTTACTATAGCTTGGGAACCCAGGGTTGTCCAGGGTACTCATAGTAACTCACACCGTTTACCCGCGCATGGTCGTAAATTACGATTTTAGCAATTTTTCCCTGTAAAAGTCGACCCACTCAATTTGGAATCCCAAAACCAAGATAAGAACGTAACTGTGGTTCTCCCAAGTTCCCAAGTCAAAATTGGGGCAAATCGGTGTAGGGGTTCATGAGTTATGATTGGACATCCAAAAAAACAAACAGAGATTTATAGTACTTTGTTTATTATTCTCTTTATACTTGAAATGTACTTTACATGCATTTACAGTAACATAATATTTGGATCTCTCTAAAAGGGACTGCGTCGTTGTAGTTTCCAGTAATACTCCATTTCAAGAGGGGTATGCCCGATTAACAAAGGTACCCTTTAACCCTGGTATACGATAATTGATTTAGAGATAAACTTTGTTTTTCTCTCTTGAAATCTGTTTAATTCTGACAAAGCCTCAAATCACTTTTATAGAGGAACCACAATGGAAAATAATTAAATATAAAGGAGAGAAAAAGGGACAGCTCAGGCAATATAGTTCAGACAAAGCTATTAAAGGTACCGTTGTGAATGCAACTTCATAAATGGAGGGATTTATTACTCGAATTCGTCCAGGAAAATTAAAAATAAAAATTAGATAAACGCGACTGTTATATTGCTGAAATTTAAAAAAATGCTAATGCTTTCCAGAACTATGTGAAAATTTTAATCTACAGAAAATTAAGAATCATGTTTAGATATTAAAATAAAGATATTAAAATAAAGATATTAAGTTGAACTTGTTTATTGATTGATAGAATGTAGAGAGATGGTCTAGGATAAGCACAAAATTGAGTTTAAAAAATAATAAATTCTCCATTTTAAAGACATAACAATTGCTCCTGTAACTATGGGATAATTTTACTTTTTAAATCACGAAAAAGAAAAGTTTTTACTAAGAAAAAATTAATGAATTTTAAGCACCCCGAATTTTCCCATTGGCAATACGTGCTCATTAATATTCATTTCAAGGCAGGGAACTTTTTAGATACATTTTTCATTTATACAGTTTTCCATTTTGGTATTTTTCCCTATTTTTAAATTTCTTTTAATCCAAAATTTATACCCTAGAACTAAGAAGGTTCAAATAATTTAAAAAAAGTGTTCTCGAAAAAATGAAAGGGGGTATAGACTACCGGCGAAAAATAATCGCTTTTGATCGCTAGTAATCTTACTTCAATCTGTTGCGTGTCTAGGGACAAAATTGTTAAAAACGACTCATACCGCAGAACGTATCGTCCATACAAATTCAAAATGTTGCAACATTCAACTCAGATCGTAAAATAATCAATTTAATTCCAAATTCATTCAATACCATTAGTCCTCGACTATTTTTCGACGCATTCGTATATAGTAAATATTTCATAATATTTTTGATTTTTTTTTTTTAAAATAATTTTTCGCTGGCGCTGGACTTTTGAACATTCCTGGAAAATATGAAAATGTCGTCTTCATTATCAAAAATTCTTGAAACAGGAATAAATGTTTTCAAAAATAACTCTCAGATCATGAAAAATTAAAAATATTATGAAATATAAACTATATACGAATGCGTAGAAAAATAATCGATGATTATTGGTTGTAATATCTAAATGATTTTTACGATCTGAGTTGAATGTTTCATCTTTCTGAGTTTGTATGGACGCTACTTTCTTCGGTATGAGTCGTTTTTAACCATTTTCTCCTTACTGACGCAACAGGTAGACGTAAGATTAG